AACCGCATTTCCGTTTCGTTCTTCTTCTTTCGTTTTCTATTTCGTTCTTTTTTTTTTTTTTTTTTTTTTTTTTCTGTCACCGACAAGTCTGCCCTTCGTTCTCGTTTAAGTGGCTATGAATGAAGCGGATTACGATGATCGGTCTCGGCTCGCGAATCTATTCCACGGCGCAAAAAACCGTCGAGCGAGGACTCGTCAAGAGGAAGCAAGCTGAAATTGCCGTAGCTAGCGTATAGCACCGCGTAATTTGTTTCCGTTTGTGTCTTTGTGTTCGGCTGGCGTTTGCTTCCTGCAAAGGCGTTCCTTTGATCGCTTCTCGTTAACGGGAGGATATTAAAATTCTATGGAAATATTTCGTATTTCCTTAATGATGCGAAAGCCGATGAGTCTTTCTGCGGAAAATTGCCCAATATACATAAATTGTTGCGATCACATCGACGCAGTTTTATAAATTTGATTATTTATGGATTCATTCGTATAATTGGCACTGGCAGAACGTGAACAGTTGATGTTTTCAAAGTTGTTGCTTTTATTAGTGGTACTTGACTCTCATCAACTGTTTTAAGAGTCAACGTTTTACTGTTCAAGTAAAGCTCATTCAAGTATTCAAACAAACTTCTTGCTCTGCAGGAGGATACATGTTTGATGTTTTCAATTTTAAAGTGAACAACGATGTTCTAATCAGTTCCTGAAAATCATGCAGTTTTATAAATTTGATCATTTATAGATTCATTCGTATAATTGGCACTGGCAGAACGTGAACAGTTGATGTTTTCAAAGTTGTTGCTTTTATTAGTGGTACTTGACTCTCATCAACTGTTTTAACAGTCAACGTTTTACTGTTCAAGTAAAGCTCATTCAAGTATTCAAACAAACTTCTTGCTCTGCAGGAGGATACATGTTTGATGTTTTCAATTTTAAAGTGAACAACGATGTTCTAATCAGTTCCTGAAAATCACGCAGTTTTATAAATTTGATCATTTATAGATTCATTCGTATAATTAGCACTGGCAGAATGTGAACGGTTGATGTTTTCAAAGTTGCTGCTTTTGTCAGTGGTACTTGACTCTCATCAACTGTTTTAACAGTGAACGTTTTACTGTTCAAGTAAAGCTCATTTAAGTATTCAAACAAACTTCTTGCTCTGCAGGAGGATACATGTTTGATGTTTTCAATTTTAAAGTGAACAACGATGTTCTAATCAGTTCCTGAAAATCACGCAGTTTTATAAATTTGATCATTTATAGATTCATTCGTATAATTAGCACTGGCAGAACGTGAACGGTTGATGTTTTCAAAGTTGCTGCTTTTGTCAGTGATACTTGACTCTCATCAACTGTTTTAACAGTGAACGTTTTACTGTTCAAGTAAAGCTCATTTAAGTATTCAAACAAACTTCTTGCTCTGCAGGAGCATACATGTTTGATGTTTTCAATTTTAAAGTGAACAACGATGTTCTAATCAGTTCCTGAACGAACAGTGCCATTTTATACATAAAATTTTCTAATAATCCATAATTTGCTTATAAAAATTCACTTAACTCTCACATAAAACATTCTAGCTTCCAATTGAATAAGCAGACAATGTTCCAAATACTTTTCACTATCCGGAAACACTCATGTACGTCTTTCAATTTAAATTCAACACACCATCCTGTTATACCGTAACAGGTATACAAATATTTCTACGTTCCCAGAAAACGTAAGGCGTACCCTTAATTTATAAAGTTTCGTTTTAAACTTTTTCGTTTGGAGAACGCAACGTTCGAAAGGGATACTATTAAACTACATTGTGACACATGATCGATCGATCAAGTGGGTATTATCTCTCGACGATGGACCGTTACTATTCAACAGCTTCTTCTCTCGTCTTTCTTTCTGTCTTAACGTCCCTCCTGTTACACCCTCCGTGTAAACGAGCTCCCTTTGGTTAAACGTTTCTTGGTGGCCGCTGAAGGCAAGCGTGTCTCGGGAAGACGTTCGTTCTCTTTCCTCTCGTCAGGGGCTACCCTTTTCATCTTGCTCGCTCGTTCGTTCGCTCCTTTCTCCTCCGTTCGAGCGGGCATGTTTTATGGATAGTCTTCCAGAGCTTTCGCGGCGCCAGCTCTTCCGCAGATACATCGGATGCTTCATTGTGTGCTGCCTCTATTATGAACGGTGCCAGGAACGTAAACGCAAATGAGACGTCGGGATTAGGAAGGTGAGCACTAATTCGGCGAATTCGCGGAATTCGACGATGAATTATTCCGGAAGCCGTTGGCGGATAATACCATTCTCTCTCGCGGCGTAAAATGTAGGCCGTAGAAAGTCAGTTGGAAGCGAATTTGTATCGGGCAGATTTTATAATTAATTTATCTTTTGTCTCGGTTACGTAAGGCGAACGGCTGTCTGTTAATGGGGAAAAGGATTTATTGGGGGATAAAAGTTGAAGCTTCGGAACTTTGATTGATCGTGGCGAATTTTTGTACTGTAAGATTTATTAGAATTAGAATCTAACAGTTCTGCAGCCACATTGATTAATTCTATAAGTTGAAAGATGGAGGAAGCTGATGAAATTGTTAACATTGCCAATTGAAATTTATAATTTTTCATCAAGTGAATAAAAAACGAACACAATGTACACAATGTAAAATGACGCAAAATTTGCAAAATTGGGAATTTCATTTTACTGAAGCTATTACTCGTTATAATTTTGAAATAATTTTGAAGGTTGAATTACATTTAAAATACAGTGGATATTACCAGTTATTATTTGTTAACGATCACTCGGATAGTTAACACTTTATAAAGTAATAAAGTTCTTCCTAATTCTTATTAGAACTTTGTCGCACGTGGACACAAGAATTAATTTCAAACGTTTTACGGCAACTGAATGGAGGCAAAGTTTGGACAAACCATATTTGGTAAAAGCTATGTCCATTTCCGACTCATTAACCGTAGAGGAAAATTCATTTTAGCGACAACGGTCCACGAATTTTGTCCAACTCGTACTTCGTAACATAACCTTCGTTCTTACTTTAAACAGGTATGCCAGGATTTAAAGAGATTCATGGATTTTTCATTGCAAAAATTTATTCCGAAAATATAACGCGAAATAACATCGGTGCTCTTACATATATGATAGATTGTTTCGTAACAAGAGAGATTTTTTAATTTTAATAAAATTTCATATTTTCGTATCTCCTTGCAGCAAAGGAAAAGAGGACATCCTCTTTGCCTGAAGTTTCCCTTCTTTTTTCAAATTTTCAATATCCTACAAATAGGAGAGCGCATTTAAAGAAGAGGTGAATTAAATAGTTGACCAATTCAAAATTGGAGTACTTTAAATAACTGATAAATCATTTCCGCTGCAATTGATTAATAATTTGTATTATTCATTCAGAAATCAGAAACTACAATATCTTTACTGTATCCGTTTCAGGGTAAATACGTTTGGTGATAATTATAACACGCTTGCTCAAACGCAATTCGGTAGAAGAAGCTACTTAAATGGTCCTCCCGTTGGAAGAGCCGAGTTGACGTAACCGATATTTTTAACCGAGCCCTTTTGTTTCACCGATTCGTCGTCCTGTTTCACCGCTGGTTCTTCCACTTTGCCCCGTTCGCCGCTTTCACGTCGACCCCTCGTAATGTCAGCGACGAGATTGTTTGATCTTTCAACGAGGTTTCCGCGAATTTCAAAGGTTGTGTCTCGCGGAGGCGGCGTTTAAATTCCATGTATGGCCGAGGCGGCCGGCGAAAGGAATTTGTCGTCAGCAAGGCGACTCTTTAGATACGACTATTATGCGTCCTGCGAGGCAACCATTACAGAGTGAATACAAACGAGCTCCTGATGGCGGACAAGTCTTTCCCCCCTTTTAGAAATGAAGTCGTATTTCGTAGAACGAACTGTCCTTGTACGCGCTCAGTGAGCGACTGCTGTATCGGGCAGGTTTTTAATTCGCGGACCTTCCTGTATTTTCGTCGCGCGGCTAGACCAGAAACGTACGTGCGATAATGTAATAACGATGTGTGACACAGTTTCCTCGTCCTTAACCCGAGTGGAATGTTAGAGAACAATGGAATAATGGAGGAACAGGAAAAATAATGGTGGTTACAGAGACGAAGAATTATGCGACAGCGTGTCTACAGCTTGTGAGTTGGTAGAGTATTATGGCAAAATGAATAGATTAAAATAGTAGGGATTAAAGGGGGGAAAAAAATGGAGAATTGTATTACGATGGCTGTAATCCCGCTTAATTATTGGATCATGCATTTATAAAAATCTAGAGTTTTCTCTTTTAATGTTCATACGGCTTTATAAATTAGATATAAATGAATTTTCGTTTATCTAACGAGACTTGAAGGAACATTTGGATTTATTACCTTATAATATGATGATATGAATCATATATTATAGTAATATAAGTTACATAAGTTACATAAGCAAGTATGAAATCATCATTGCCTTTCGTATTAAACAATTAATTGAATAATCTTTCATTAGCGATAAGAGTTAATGTACGTTGCAAGTAACTTTATTCAAGACGATACTAATAACAATAATCGTTTACGTTGAACCGTGAAAACAGTATTAACTCGTTAAGATTTGAAAAGAAATTTTTTTCTGTTTCCAAATTACTTTCCAATTCTCCAACTTTCCTTCTTAATTCTACTAATCTGATACAGGTATTAAAACGGAGCACTCCATCGATGTGAACCTTCAAAACTGCTGGCACAGTTTAAATAATCCCAAAGTGCAAACAAACCCGAATCGATAAGAAGATTTTCCTATTCGCGAAAGTTTATTAATATTAATATTCTAATGCGAATTGGAGCGATCAGTCCTATGACAATTCTCCTCATCGGTAGTCGATAGCGATTAAATTTCAGAAATGTTTAGTGTACATGTGTGTATGTGCGCGCGCGTGTGTCATTCGGGGGGATGATAGGCGTTCGGCTGTTTCCGCCGTCGTTCGATTACGCTCGGCTTTAGCTACACCGCCCGGACCCGTCAGTCTCGCGCATGACTTCGTAGTAAGAGGAAGTGTTCCTTCGTCTTGTCGCCGCGGCAAAAAAAATCGATCGTATTTTCATAAACGACTAACGTAAGAACGATCAGTTGGCTCTAACGAAGGAACCATAAAGACCGTCGGGCGATAAACGTAAAAGTTAGTGCGTTAAGACGATCGGCAAGTGATAAACGGTTGGTGTCGAGTCGTCTCGTGATCGATCCTTGTGTGTATCCTGTCAAGGTGTTCTCTCTACCGTTCTCTGGTCAGGATATTATGCTACCGATCGCGCGTGCTGCAAGATCGTTTTGACTCGTGGGGCAGTCGACCACAGATCACTGTGCAAAATGTTACCGCAAACACCTGACATTATTCCCACCACTTTGAACCAGGTAAGCGAAAACGATCCGAGTTGAGTATCGCTCTCGGATTATTTCATTTTCAATTTGTCCCGCGTTCGTTGTGACCTTCAACCTGAAAGTCTCGCCTCTTTCAATACGGCCCAGGGTGTGTTTGTACCGGCGCGACGAAATACGAGCGTTCCGTTCCCCCTCGACACGCGAAAGCGTTTTGTTTATGCCTTTACCGAGAATTTCGACTCTGTCTCTTGCACGTACGTACGTACTTCACTCTCTTTTTTTTTCCCTCGTGTTTTTCGTTTCGTAACTTCGTAAATTCGTTTCGTCAGCAGTGGCGGAAATTCGTGGAACACACTTTCCAAGTGGCACGCCGGTTTTTTCGTCGGAAGTTTGGCGTAGATGTGCGTAATACGTGAACGTCGTAACCAACGTTCGATTATATCGATTTGCTAACGTGACAGGCCGAGAGTAGTGGTGACCGCCAAATACATATCGATTGCGCGATTCTTCGTTGAATAACCGTTGTGTATCCTTCGAATGTGATAATAAATCGCGAATATGTGATAATAGTTGTATGAAAAAAAAAAAAAATCACGTTTATTCGAAGTATACTTTAGAGTATCGATAACCGAAATACAAATTGATAAAAATTATCGATATTAATAGAACAAAATTTACACACTGTACAATTTCTTGATTTATTATTTAAAATAAGCGTGTGAATATTCTTGCATGAACGTCCATTATTCGAGATAAAATTCGCAATATCGATTAGTCGTAAGTGAAAAACTGTTAGAAATCGATATTAGTATTGTCTCACGGTTTACGGTACAAGTTTCGTGATTATCCGAAGAATTCGATTTTCCTTGGGAGTATCGATTGATTGAACGGGGAATGTTTGAAATGATTGGTATTAGTGGTGTATCGTTATAACAGTACTGTATTAGAGTGTTGGAGCAGCGCGCCACTCCTGTCAAGATGGCGAAAAGACAAATATTTGCGGTCCGCCGATGCCGGTTAAAGAACACGGTCGTTGTGGGAACAGAAAGTTCTTTATGTCGCTTCACGTTCTGTCAATGTTCTACGCTCGTTTCCATGCCTCTTCCCGGTATAATAAACGTCAGTGTTAATTAGCGCCGGCCGACAGGTTAGCTCATCGATAGTGTCACGAGCAATCGATTAATCGAACTCCGCCGGATTATTTCGTACGTCGTGATTCCGTCGTGCGTCGCTTACATTTACGCGTAATATGCTTAACCGACGTATCGTAAACGGGTTTCGAGTTCCTTGCCATTCGCGAGTCGTCGTTTTATTTCATAAAATACACTTGGAATTCCGTTTCCTGCGAGTGGTTGCAATTTAAGTAGAGGTTATGTGATACCAGCGGATATTTCATTAAAACGAGCACCGACCTTGAAAGCTGCCACCAGGTACATGTATATGTATTTTATCGCTTAATTTTCGTAGGAAACTATATAGTGATATTGATTTAGCAATGATTTTGAGAATGTGATTTTCAGAACAATCTTTTTAAGCTGTACGCTCTTTGCTGTTTTTTATTTTTCATACAGGTCTGACATGTTATGTGCAGTTGAGGTTAGAATCTATTGATTGAATTAATTGATTGATTTCTGTTATTGGTTTATTGACGATTAAAAGTTCTCTGGTCCTTTTTTTAAATAATTTTTGGACAAACAAAATGTCAATTTATTATATATATATGTAATGAAGTTAATCTGTGTCTATATATATATATTTATATATGTACATTATTGAAAGAATACAATTAGAATGATCGCGATAGCTTGAATAACGTATTATTATGGTTTTTGGTTTTTAGTAATATCTAAAAGCATTGGTTATTAAAGCAAACAAGCGTTTCAAGACGAGTACACGTCATTTCTTGTAATAATAGGAAAAAGATGAAAAGATAGAGAATGGCATCGAGCGCACGAATAGCTTCGACTTTGTAGCGTGATACTATAGTGTTAAATATGCAACGAAAAAAAGAAACTCTCGGCTGAGAGAGCATTAAACGAGGGAAAAGAAACTTATCTTACCTTCCAATCGTAATAAAGTTATTTAAATCTTTTTTTTTTTTTTTCTATCATAAATTATTCATTTTTTTATTTCACGATGACTATGGCACTTATTATGTAGAAAAGTCGATTATATTTTGTTATGGATCTTTTTTTATTTATTAACTTATCACTAGCAATAACTTTTTTTAGGCAAGCAGCGATACTTCACATGTTGTCTGCTTTCCAAGTTTTTATCTTTATTGAAAAAGTAATCGCGTATCATTGTAGTTGATAGTTATGTAACTATAGAATTATATAATGTAATATAAGACGTTGATAAGCACTGTAGAATGTATAAGTATTTTTAATTTCATTTTTGAAACATAAAGGACCTGACTTGCCTGAGAGAGAGAGAGAGAGAGAGTCGCAGCGTTAATTTTATGGTATTTTAGCGGACCATGCTATTGTTTGCTCGCCGCTATGTTTTGTTGTGCCAAATAATCGACCTCCGGTCTATTAGCGTAATAACCGTATGAACATTACAATCGTGATACAATTATCGATGTTATCGTTGCAATTTACACTGGCATTAGCACACGCCACGCGTATTTTTCTCTTTTTCTCAAATGCAAGATAAAACGCACAATGGCTGCGTCTGTTGTACACAATGGAAGTATAATTATACCTATCATGCTCGAAGCCGATCGTTTTCCAATCGTCGATTAGAAGATTTCTAAATAACGTGGAAAATGTTCATCAAATTCCCTTCGATGGTAGTTGTTTCATCGATATTATGCGATCATCTCTAGATAATCTATAGTACTATCTAACTAACGACGGCTGTTGTTAATTCTGTTATCGAAACAATCGAATATTCTTAATCAATCGAAAATAATGCAGGTGTACTTTGGTCTAACCGCAACCAGATATACTGTTGCCATTAATTTCATCAACAGAGTCGCTGAGAGCTGTTAGCAAACGTTCATTTTCGCTCGATTTCGCTCCAATTACAAGAGCGAAATCACTGCAGGCTGCATCGATCGCTCCATCCTTGATAAAAACAATAAAATAATGATGTACATTTGTAATTCTCTAATGATTGTAATCTTCTCTTTGAGAAGAAGAATTCAAAACAAAAAAAAAAAAATTTTCTCTAATATTATCGATGCATCCGATCCATTGGTTTTCACTCGATGAAGATTATTCATTTTTGACAAGATGGAAACGATATAATTTATTAAAATCAGTTAATGATAAAGAAATTATCAAATTCGCTCGAATTCCAACTATTGATTAGCCTAGCTCTTTTAAAAAATTTAAAATTGTTAGAATACAATATGGAAAGAGACAGAATAATAAAAATTGATTTGAAATATCGGCCCCTTGATTTATTATTCGGTTTCACATAGCATTCGAAGAATATAGAATACAAAATAATTCGTCGAAGTTTCTGGATTATCAGGATAAAATAATTCTAAATCTAGAGTGTTAATTTTTTGATAGTAATTCTCATCAACTTATTGCCAATGCGAGTGTATATACTCTGACTAAAAAATTTTCGTATATGAATCCTGTGCCAACGTTTTCGTAAATAAATATTCTGACTCGTTTGCTCAAACGGAGCGGAAGTGGTTCCGTTCGCTGATATCATCCGATTTTCTTGGTATTCTGGATGACTGGGAACACACCTTACTATCTCCTCTCTCCACGACAGGTTTCACTGTCGCGGATTTCGTCGAACTTGAACGGCACGCTCGCTTCAGGTTTATCGTTCGTGGAAAGGTGCGTGATGTACGTGGCCAGAGAATTCTTGAGAGGCGGACTCTTATCGATTGTTTCGAAAGTCGATGCCGTCGTTCCTCGTTCTGCACGTCGACGAAAGGAATCCGTAGTTTTCGGAATATAATTGATTTTATAAATACAAATACACTTATCCCGCGTATTTGACATTGGTTCGATGAACATTTATTTGGAACTTTCTATATTTGTTTACTAAGAAAAATTCCATTTCGCAGTGTTTAAAATAGTTTTATTAAATTTGTTACCGGTTTGATAAGCTCTCCTCAGTTGGGAAATAAATCGTAAAAGTAAGTTAATTCATCAGGAAATAAAATAAACGAAGAACACTTACGTCGATTACAAAAATTTAGGCTTCCTGTTCTTAGCTACCAATGAATGAGAATTTACTTTACGAATAAATTCTTATATATAATTTATATATAACTGTGTCGACGAAAATCGTATTTCATTTCTCGTAAGCCTAGAAGTAAATTTTATCTAATTTCGTTCTTAACACAGAAATTAGCCAATAGTCGCAATTAACAAGATTCGAAGGGTAATTAACTTCTCCGAAGAGACTGGAGCGTGTTTAGAATACACGACAAAAATCACAAAGCTACTTTAAACTGTACTGTATTTGTTCGTGAAAATGTTAATGATTCAGCAGCTTCGAGAGAGAATGAAACGTAGTTTTTGTCGAGTCATATTCACCCATTGAAATCGTCTAAACACGTCTGCCTCGTGGCCTTTACCTGTTAGAGAAACATTAAGATGACCTGTTTTCTCAGAAACGCGAATAAGAATGATATTCGACGATGACACTGCGGTTCGTGTTGGACACGATCGTGATTTTCGTAACAGATATTCACGCGAAGTAGTGCCTCGAATTAATGTTGTAATCTCTGTATGCCGATCGCCATGATCGATTCTATAAGCTTCAATTATTAATAATTGGACACGCTTCAGCGGTTCTAACTACGAAGCTACAAATTTCGTGCAGCACGATCATGAATGTGAATTTTTTCCCATTCTGACTCGTCAGGATAATTTCCTGTTGAAAATTCTGGCTTAATCGAAAATTTTAAATTTCGATCGAACTGAAAATTAAGTTCGAATTACGACGATATGACAAATCGGAGAAATATCATTTTGACAAATTTGACAAACAGTTTCGCTCGATAAGTCAGTCGAATTTTAATTCATGAAATTTCATATAACGATAGTTAAATTTAA